TATTTTTATATTTTAAATTAGTATTGTTTAAACATTTACTTTATGGTTGAGTTAAAAATATTTTACTATTTTGTTTCAAAAGTTTTGTGGTGAATGCACGTGATAGTATGAACAGCGAGAGTAAGTACAATGATGATAAACAAAATTTAATTTTCAGTCCACATGATGTTTTCTTTACACAGGATTCTAACTTGGATCCCAACTATAACATACACATTTGTATATGAAGTTACAATGAACAGGAGTGTTAACAAACAAAAGGGTGCACAATTATGTAAAAACACATCATGTATGTATTGTTGGAAAAAAATTTATTTCTTTATTGCAATTAAATTGTCCTGGCCAAATTTTAAAAACTGTAAATTGTTTTTTAATTGTGCTGCCACCGCTAGAGGGATACAACAGACTGTTTTACATTTGAAGGTGGATGAGAAGTCTCAAATAAAAGGTAGACTCCACTGTGGAATTGTCTTATCCTTCATCTTTGTGAGAAAGGACAAATTGTGTAAAGACACATTATGCATTGTCAGAAAAAGATATTTATTTCTTTATTGCAAAAGGGTGCACACTTCACAACAATAAGTGTTACAGTCAGACTTTCCTGAATCTTTATAACTAAACTTAAAACTAACTTATATACTAAAAAGAAGAAGAAGAAAGATATAAAATAGATGTTAGGAAGGTGATGATGAAAGTATTTATGGAACCAGGGGTTTTTTCATGAAAATCTTCAAACTTTCAGGTGGAGAGATCACTCTGTTTGTTTTCCACTATTCTTCTTTGTTTCAAAGTTTATATCTCCATAATCATTCACTTAATTTTCAATTGCTATGTTGATGCTATGGTTTGTTCCTATTACTGCTGACAATTCCTGTCTTCCTTTCGTCCCACTAGACAACATTTCAGACCTTGCTCTTTCTATGTCTGTCCACTACGAATGCTCCACCATGAATGTCCACCTACTTCCTCCGACTTTTCTCAGGTCTTTTCTCTTTCTATTGTTTTCTTGGTGTAGTTCCCCAAACTGCGTTCCCATTCACAGGAAGGAAAGATCATTAGAAAATTTGAGAAGAAAGATACAGAACAAAAGACTAAGGAACTTAATATTATGCTTACCACTAAAACATACATACAAAATATGGCGTATTGCCACAGCTTAACTTAGCAATACTCGTCTTGCTAAATTGCTTGTATTATCACTTCTGTTATCATCTAATACCTAACAATTTCTACCACTTAGCTTTGGTTCCATAACCTTCATTCTTATTAATTTAATTTAATTTATCATATTTACTCGCATATAGGACAAGATGGGACTTCAAAGATCAAAATAAAGAAATTAGATTTATTAATACAATTTTAATTTTATTTCATTTAATCATAAATAAAATATCAAATGCATGTAAATGCACACATTTTTCACAAAAATTACTGGCATTTTAAGGAAAAATGTTGTAAAATAGACAACATAATTTGTTCATGTAAAGCTGGACAATTGGGAATCTTTTTTGCCAATGCTGAACAGTCGAATCTACTCTGTTGTTACACTTATGAATTTCTACAAATTATGATTTCCAAATAATCATCTGTTTTTGAGTGGGAATGAATTAAAACTTATATCAGGTTTGGATGATTTTGACCTGTGTGATTTTGGAATTTTAGTTTGTCGTTTAATTCAAAAGCTTTGCTTTTCGTATTGCTATTCATCTTCAAACCTGACAATACACAAGAATGATTCAAATGACCCAAATAGAATACTTTTGCAAAAACACTTACATAAAACCTGTTAACCGAAGTGGTTGCGTACTAGGGTTACTAACGTTTTCGAGGCCCCTTCTGGACTTATACTTATACTTCTTCAGGCTATTGTACAAAAAAAAAGAAGTCGGACATTGTAAATCGAATAATTTCCTTTTGAATATATCATCATTCAAATTATAGCACATGGAAAATTTTCCAGGAGATTTAAAATAAAATGAGTTATGTTTAGTGTAAAGAGCATGCGCATCTTATTGATATTGAAATATTTAAATATTATTATTTAGCAGGATCTGCCACGCTGTTGAAAGGGCCATTTCATCTTTAAAATTAATGCGTGTGGTGCTACATTCTGCTCTGAATATTTCCATAGCCTCCAAGACTTTGAGATGTTCCGGGTGGGTGGTAGTGATGATAATGCATGCTGCGTTAAAGTCCGTCGTGATGTCCTGATCGGTGGCATATATTAATGCAGCATGCATTAATATAGTTAACAATTTTGGACTTTAAATCACTATACCCTTCCATTAAACTCCCACTGGTATTTTGCGCCATCAGGGATACGCTCATGAACATAGTACAAGATAACACATTACACCAACACATCCTGGAAATGGCACATTTGTTCTGTCACAACTCCTTCTTTAGATTCAGCAGAGTAACTTATGAACAAGAATGAGAAGTACCTATGGGAATCCCCATCGCAGGGGACCTGTGTGAGATAGTGGTGAGGAAACTGGAATCCCAATTTATACCAAAACATTTTCCAAATATTGTAATATACAAATTTTGTAAAAACGAGAAGGCACTGAGGTCGGCGTTATGTGTGCGTTTTTTAATCGCTAGTACTTTCGACGAACTTATAGCCGTCGTCATCAGGCGAATTATCGAAAGAATTAAACGGAAATAATCCGATTTGGAATAGAACGCTTAAATTTAAGATGAAACTTTAGTAAAAGTCGTTAGGAACACGATAGAAATATTCAAAAATGTTCGAAAAACGAACGAGCAGAAAGCTCCATGATGTGCGAATACGCGCATGCGCAGATCTAGACACACACTGTACGCATTCTGGAGAATGCTAATTTTTACTTAATTGCTTGTATAGTGTGATCCATACACTGGGCAGCTCGAGAGTTGGAATGTTGCACGTGTCCAAGGTGGTAGTAAGAAGAGACTCCCATATGAAAACGATTTTTCGATCCTTACAGCTCTTGAGCATAACCGCTTGGGACCATAGCGGGTTGTAACCCTGCTCAAGTACTTTTCTTGCGGAGCTCGCAAGAAAAGTATTCTTTTACTACTTTTCTTGCGGAGCTCGGTGGTGTGTCTACCCCTTGCAACATCGTTTTGGTGCTCTTCTAGTCGGCTGGCAAGCATTCTAGTAGTGGCCCCGACATATCTTGCATTTACTCCCGTTGTAAGGTTTTCCAGAGGTACAGCATAGACCCCCGACTTCTCAAGCGTGGAAAATTTGTCCCTATCATTACAAATGAGTTTGCGTAGGTTTGGAAGTGGGGTTAGTGGTAGTATAAGGCCGTGCTGCTTAAAGATTCTGCAGATACGTATAGAGAGGGGTTTCAGGTATGGCATCGCTTTCTTTTTTGGGAGAAAGAAAGCGATGCCATACCTGATAAGATTTACATATATGCAGGTCTAAGAACGTTATTGCGCATCGCTTTCTTTCTTGGGAGAAAGAAAGCGATGCGCAATAACGTTCTTAGACCTGCATATATGTAAATCTTCGGAAGGACTACAATTCTCGGTTCATCATAAGTCCAGCATAGCTCCACACATTATACCAGCAGAGGCTTTTCAGCCTTCTCGATATGTCAATGCTGCCATTGCCTCTCTTGTTAGAAGGGCTTACTTACTATCATCTTTGCAAGAGCTGGTAAACATGGAATTAGACAACATAAGTTTGGGGATACGCACTGCTGGCTTTTCACGTGCAAAATTTACGCACGTGCTCAATATGGTAAAGAAATCACTGTTTCCAAGTACCACATTATGCAGCAAAAGAGAATTTTCAATGGTACAAACATCGTTGCCATACCTGGGACCCCTCTCTATACGTATCTGCAGAATCTTTAAGCAGCACGGCCTTATACTACCACTAACCCCACTTCCAAACCTACGCAAACTCATTTGTAATGATAGGGACAAATTTTCCACGCTTGAGAAGTCGGGGGTCTATGCTGTACCTCTGGAAAACCTTACAACGGGAGTAAATGCAAGATATGTCGGGGCCACTACTAGAATGCTTGCCAGCCGACTAGAAGAGCACCAAAACGATGTTGCGAGGGGTAGACACACCACCGAGCTCGCAAGAAAAGTACTTGAGCAGGGTTACAACCCGCTATGGTCCCAAGCGGTTATGCTCAAGAGCTGTAAGGATCGAAAAATCGTATTTATATGGGAGTCTCTTCTTACTACCACCTTGGACACGTGCAACATTCCAACTCTCGAGCTGCCCAGTGTATGGGTCACACTATACAAGCAATTAAGTAAAAATTAGCATTCTCCAGAATGCGTACAGTGTGTGTCTAGATCTGCGCATGCGCGTATTCGCACATCATGGAGCTTTCTGCTCGTTCGTTTTTCGAACATTTTTGAATATTTCTATCGTGTTCCTAACGACTTTTACTAAAGTTTCATCTTAAATTTAAGCGTTCTATTCCAAATCGGATTATTTCCGTTTAATTCTTTCGATAATTCGCCTGATGACGACGGCTATAAGTTCGTCGAAAGTACTAGCGATTAAAAAACGCACACATAACACCGACCTCAGTGCCTTCTCGTTTTTACAATATAGTATTTTGGCATGATAGTCAGCAAATTGATCATTAAGACATGTAATATACAAAAGATACATAAATGATATTCTTATACTATGGAAAGATGAGCCAAACATTTCTGCACTTGTTGATTCTATCAATGATAATCCATATGGCTTAACTGTTGAGATAGACCAGGCTCATCCTACAGAAGCTCACTTCCTGGTCATTAAAATGAGGATAGAAGGATTAACCATCAACACGGAAGTTTATTGTAAACCAATCATTGAATGTTTATATATACCGGCAGGATCCTGTGACCTGCCACAGTACAAGTTTGCAGCTTTCAATGCATTAATAAAAAGAGCCTATACGCACTCCACATCACAAATAGCTTTCTGATCAGAAATGTGATGTATAGAGTACATAGCCAAACAGTATGGTTACCACGGCATCATATGCAAAATGAACAGCAAATTATGGAAACAAGAATCAAATCCCAGCAATCGATCCAATGATACTTTTGTTAACAGCATCCCAGTCACATACAATCCAGTACTTAAAGCCATCTACAACGAGATAGCTAAGAAAAAGAATATTCCCTTAACTTTTAGAAGATGTGCTATGATTTTTGATATGCTAAGAAATGGAAAGGACACTCCGGACACAAATAAACTCCCAGGAGTATACACCGTCCCTATCATTGATCACAGGTATAATAGAAACATGATATACATAGGATCAACTAAACACACCTTCAAAACTAGGATTAAAGAACATAAAGTCTACACCAGAGAAACAACACAGCTTTGGCCGTATATTCCTCTGACCCGGATATAGAACCTATATTCCCTCAAGCAAAGGTCATACACACCACGTGCTGCACGAGCCACCTTAGATGGCTTGAGGCTATATATATACTTAAACACCTTTAAGAACAATAATTGTATTAATTACAAAGAGGAAATGGCTCTATCAACGGCCTGGCAGGCCTTACTCAATAAATCTCTAAAATAACACAGCATCAATAATGTGCAGATCTGCAATGACGCTATCAGTTGCATGAAAAAATATTCCAGAATATATTCCATAACAACTTTAAATTCAATTTGAAACACAAATTCGAATGGGGAGTTCTGTAATGCCTGAAGAAGAGTCATAATGGTTTGAAAATGTTTGCAATTACTTTATTATTTGGTTGAAAGGAACACACTGGTAAAAGACAGAGAGGTACATGTATTTTAAATCATGTCAGAGTTGTTATTTCAAAATCATGTAAAAAGAGTTAGGTGTATTTATATTATTATTAGTAAATGTTAATAAAACATCTAAAAATGGCAATTTCTTATTGTTTTCAGTTTCTATTTCAAATTGTATTTTGGTATCTAGTTTATTTAAATCTATAATCAAACAATTTATGTTTAAAAAGATTTTATCAGAAATTATAATGCACTTATCTAAAAATATATTGTATAGTACTATACCTTGTTGTTTACTTTTTAAAATAATTTAAATGGTTATAATTTAATTAATTGGTGAACACCAGTCGAAACACCCATAATTTATCATGTGTTTGTGCTCTCTTCTTTCATTTAAATGTATCTCATAGATTTTTCTTTTATTGCATAGTTAACAGAATGATTAATATTAAATGTATGCTTTGCTTTGATTATTTGCAATATAAAAAAATGCAAATATATGCTGTATAATTCTTAAATTTTGTGTAATTGTTTTTTCTTTCTTGTTTGTTTTTTAGTGTATTACTTTTATTTCATTAGTTGAGTTTTGTGTACCAATTAATAATATGAAATACTGAGTCACTGCTTTTTTTGCTATTGTGAATCTGCTTTTAGGAACTAATCACATGAGAGATATGGTTAATCGCTGGTTTAGAAGTATTTTACTGTTGATGTTTAGTCAAAGATGCATTTTGTAAATTGTAATACTTTGCATCTTATAAAGTGTATTTTGTAAATTGTTATATGCATTAATTAGTTATTTGTAACTGTGGTTACAAATAAATATTAATGTTTATCAGTCTGTAAGTGATTTCTGAATAGTGTGTGATAAGTCCTAGCAAGAGCCATTTATAGTGCTCAGATAATCAATTAATAATAGTGGAACAGGAAGCCTAATAATAATTAATGTAATATGCATCTCGTAAATTGTAATACTTAAACAGGTCAAACTGATAAGTGGCTTATGCTTGAAATGCATCTTTGACCAAACATCAACAGTAAAATACTTTTTTAGTAAAAAATAGTACTTGTGAATTTTATGGATTGTTGCTGGAGCGAACAACAGAAGAATAACGGAAGTGAAATATTTACTTTCGTTAAACGTTGTATTTTTATATTTATTTCTACAATTAAAAGTGAAATACTTTTAAATCGGTGATTAACTATGCCCCTCATATGATTAGTTCCTAATTGTGGATTCACAATAGAGAGAGAAGTGTGTTGTTATTCCTTTTATTTTGTATATTGTTTCCTTGGGATTTTATGTTGATGTGTTATGTTTATTTTATTTACAATTAAGAAAACACACAAATAAATAACAGAAGCAATATGAATTTATTTAAAAAGCAATGTTTTTTTAACTGTAGAGAATTGGATGCTTAGCACTTCTTGGAAATGTCATGTGACTATCTTTGTTTCATAGGAAATCGTAAAGTAGAAGTTTTATTTTATTGTTTTTTTATTTTAAGTAATACTTGATTTCTATGATTACTATGGAAATATTCTTGTAATTTTAATATATAGGTTTCTAGTAGTATTAGTCTTTTACACAAGCATCTCCAACTGATGATTATTGATGATTGAAAGTGTTTGGATTTTTGAATTTTCAGTTCATTTTTTTTCATTAAAGTGTTTTTATTTATTATTTTGTTAATATTTTATTTAGCTAACAATTTTTTATTTTGGATAATGTAAATATTTCTCAGAAAGCATAAGGTGGTTATGAAAATGTTAAAGAAAATGAGACTGCTAGAAGAGCTGTCCTCAGTGACAAAGAAAGAAATATAACATGCACAAAAACAGAAAATATAATTAAAATAATCAGAAAAATTTGACATACTAGTTACAATACATATAGTCTTTATACTTAAATTGTTAAAAATAATAGTGGTATGTAATAGGAAAAGTGTTGACACAAATAAAAATCACCTTTATAATCCTAGCAACATATTTATTAATATGCTGCTAGGATTATGAAGGTGATTTTTATTTGTATTTTATAAAGTGTCATTCAAAAAAATAATAATAAATTGTTTTATTTGAAGTGTGAGACTAATTGGGGGTAGGATGGTTACGAGGATATTCCCTCTCCTACCACTTACTCGACTCAAGACCTTGAGGTCCGGTCTCGCTTGTCTAAAGAATGGAAAAAAAAAGGTTTAGGAGAAAAGATCGTTAGATTCCTTCACCTGTCAGGATCTGACACCAATCTATCAATTTATCGCGGATAGATACGCGGATGGATGGGGAATTATCACGAGTGATCTCGTCGAGGACTTCGGGTTCAGTATGGAGTGGAAAATGTCGGAAGAAACGCACACCAATCCAAGTTCGTTAACAAAATCCCCGTTTATTCCGTACATTTATACATAGTTAATAATTGGAATACAAATCCCTCTCGGGGGTTCAATCCGTATAGTTCATAAAGTAACGGCAAAGTATAAAGTAGTCGCGACCCTACCCGCGAGGTTCGAATATTCGAGAGAGAGCTTACACATCATCGCGTGTAGGATAAATACCTCTGATTAGGTTGTTATAACGTTGATCCGAGGTTCGTCCTTCCAAGTTCAAAGTTCAAATCAGTCCAAAGTTCGAAGTCGAAGTTCAAAGTCTATTAAAGACGGTGGAGACGAGATGCAGGTAAATCCACGGGCACACACTCACAGTATAGAGAAAAGAACTTAAT